TCTAAATGAATGAAATATTGCCTCTGAATACTTTGTTCTGTACAAAGATGAATTTGCTGACAGTCTTTGGTGCAACGTGACATTAGTGGAACAAACAAGACATGATGTCCAAGATGTGCTCAAACGTATTCATTTCTGGGGAATAGGTGGCCAGTAGCTTCAATGCCAACTGCTGACAAACTCCAGCCACATGGATCTACCATTGTCCTTCATTACGACGAATCCAGGGCAAACTACACCAGCATATGGTCTCACAAGGCGCTGAGGATCTCATCTTGGTACCTAATGAGAGTCATGCTACCTCTGAAGAGCACATGGAGGGCTTTGCAGCCGTCCAAAGAAATGTTTATCCACCTGCTGACAACTGAGAAGAGCACAGGGTGCCAGTGTTGAATCTGCCAATCCTGATGTTACATGTCAAATGCCAAGCATCCTACACAGTGCTGTGCTGTGAGCACAATCCCTCTTTGTGGAGGTCGGGCCCTAATGCCATCCTCATGGATTTGGTTTCTGTTTGTCCAGACACATGCACATTTGTGGCCTGCTGGAGGTCATGTTGCAGGGCTTTGGCAGTGCTCCTCCAGTTACTCCTTGTACAAATGCTGTGGTAGCAATCCTGCTGCTGGGTTTTTGCCTCCTACTTTTTCAGCCTCTGGACACTATGCTGACAGACACAGAAAACCTTTCTGCCACAGCTCCCATTGATATGCCATCCTGGATTAACCACACTACTAGAGCACTACCTGGACTATAGTGTCCATCTAATGCTACCACAAGTGTAAAAGCTACACCAAAATTCAAAAGCGACCAAAACATCTGCCACAAAGCAGAGGTAGTGATGGCCTTGGTTATGTGAGGTGGTAATTGTAGTGTGCTCTACTAAGCCCATAGATTACCTAATAAGAGAAAAGGTTTGCATAGCACACGTACACACACACACACACACACATATGTGTGTGCGTGTATATATATATATATATATATATATATATATATATATATATATATATATATATATATATATATATATATATATATATACACAGTTTATGTATTAGATGTCCAGGTAAAGGAGGTTGTAAAGTACTGGAAAGGCACATGAAAGAGGTCATCGCTGACCATAAGTAACCATTAAGTTAGCATTATGCTTTCATGCAGGTATTGAGTGTTCAGAGTGTTACCCTTTTAAATGTGCAGTAACAGCAGGATATTCATGAGACACTGTTTCCTAGCAACATAGTGTATGTACTGTGTATAAGCTACAGTAGCATGTCTTCTGGGATCAGTCGCCACTAAGACAAAAGATATAATCTGGAGTTTTTTATAAAAGGGATGCAGATTTTCAAATTCCTGAAGATGTTCTTTTTTTAGTTGAACATCCCACACATATTTTGAACTCATACATTCCCAGCTTATTCTGACAAAATCATATTGGTGAGCTCTCTGTCGCTGGATCTGCCTCTAGATCTTTGCTTTTTACAGCAAATCAGCCCCTGTTTGTCATTGTATACAATGGAATCAGAGCACAACTGAGAGAACCCACTCAGTGGAGCCCAGAGAGAAAACACCACTGCCGTGCTTCTCTCAGTCCTGCAGTAAATTGATGCTCGATTCCAGACAAATGCACTCCTGCGTTCATTCTGTCACCTGAGGGCACTTGTATTGTTCTGTGTTCAGGTGCTTATGAGAAAAGGTCTGTGCCTAGTGGATAAACATTTCATCTGCTCAGCCACTCATATTTGCACAAGGACTGGCTTTGTATTGGTACTCCAGTCCATTTCCAGAGCAGTCAGATACCGCTTAAATAATCTATAGAATTAATTGGCTTTCATGACTCCAACTAACTTGTACTTTAGTGAGTATTCATTCAGCCGGGACAGCATATACAATTTTTTTTTTGCAATTTTAGAAAAAATCTTAGCATTTACACTGGAAGCCACATTTACTTTGCTAAAAAATACTCAAAATATAATTCCCAACTGCTATTCCCAACTGCTATTTCATCCTTTTCCCCAAAGATTTTCACTTTTTTGCTTTAATATCCCATTAATCCATACAGATAAAACTTTCACCTTCATTAAAGAGATTTTATCCTTTAATCTGCAAAAAGCACATTTACATTTTTTCCAGGTACTGCTTAAATTGACATGTTATACCGGTATCTAAAAAAAAAACAAAAAAAACACATAGGTCGTGAAATTTAAAATGTGCTGCTTTGTAGACTCAAGCAGGCTCATCGAAGCACAGAGACACCAGCTGTTACTAGATACTTAGCTGTCAGTTCATGATTTGAAATAAAACTCCTTTGATGCTGAAATTCCAGATTAGTTCAGAAATCTTAACAACTCAGCTCACTTTCATACCTTTGTCTTTTTAATTTTCTTTTTTTTTTTTTACAGAATAGTTGAAATATAGCAACAAGATTATTCTGACATTTCTTCTGTCGCTGATATGCATTTTGAAATAGATTTCTATTAAATACATTCAATTATGCTGTTGTAAAGAAAAAGCATCCCAGTGCCACAAGTTGTCAGTAAATTCCACACATTCTTTATTCTTTTATAATTCTAGGGCAAACTTAGCGTATAAATAAAAAGATTATTCTTTGTAAGTCTGTAAAGATTCAATCTTTACACCATTTAACATCAACTGCGCGCACTCAGCTTCTGCATTCCTTCTTTGTGCTGCCAATAAGGCAACAAACATCAAGTTGACAAATTTCTGTTAGAAAGAAATTATTCATCATAAAATCAAAAATATTCTTTAACTATAGCTACTACACATAGACAGTGGGTGTTTTCTGGAGAGTACTATCACATGGCAATTCATTCTTTAGAAAGTACATATGTAGTTTTAACTGTGTCTCACAGGTTGTTTTTGTTTAAAAAGCATAGATTTAATCTGATGGTCTGTACCTTTAAAATGAGTTGATTATCAATGTTTCAACCTTTTGTTTTGACTCAGGAGTTTGGTTTAAAGATCATTTCAACTTTAGAGATAAGTCTTAAATGTTCATTTTACCTGAGCAAATGATTAGTATTTTTATCAATCCATCCAATATGTTTTCTATATTTCATTTTATCATGAAAAGGACAATGTTTTCAGATTTATTAAAACACTTTCATTTAAATGCAGAAACCGCAGTGAGTCGTGACGGTATATTATGCAAAACCCTATAATTTCATGAGACAACTCTCTCTGTCTCTCTTTTGTATTGTGGGAGGATAATGTACACTACCCCATGTATATTCCTGTCATTGTGTACTTTGGACATGCAACAACTGTTATTTTCAAGCTTTTGTATGCAGGGCAAGTGATGACGGCTGCAGAAAGCTTGCAGCTATCTAAGGCCTTGGATTTTGGCAAGGATAAGTGTTGATGTAAAATTATTTTATGTTTTCTTACACTAATTCACAATATTATGGTGCCATTACCTGAGCCTAAAGTAATGTTCAAGGAACTAAAGTCATTTTTCTTTTACTTTCTTTTTTGCAAATGCAGACTTAATTTTTCTTTGTGTTGCAAAGCTGTATTCAGTAGAGAAATAAATCAGTTGCTATTAACAAGATGCTGAAATTAAACCCAGAGGTTTTCAAAGATTTTTAATAGAAATAATACATTTTGTATAAAAAATCTAAACATGCTTCACACACTTCTTAAGTTGTCTTGAGGTTTTACAAATACATAATCATATAGCCAGGCACTGCATCTTTTTTGTACATTTTCCCCAATTTTAGGATATGTCAGGACATAAAGCAGACATCATCAATCTATTTAATAACATACATTAACTTGCCATTTAATTTGGTCAGCACTCACATTTTATTCTGCAACACAAATGATGTTGAAAGTAATAAAAAGGGCATGAGAAGCAGCACTGAACTCACAAAACAAATGATCTCACAATGGTTTTCCGAGACATCAGAGGGTTTTTATATTTGCACAAAGCCAAATATTAATTAATTCAGCGAGCTTGGGGTGGATTGATAGAGATATAGCATATCTTTTGCAATTTGATTTTCATTTGTCAAAAAGCTTTACAACTTCCTTATCCTTCCCTTTTATCACGAGAGTGCCTGAAGACATGTATAATAATGACTTTTCTCTGTAGCTGGCCCATTATGGATATCATCCTCAGGGCAAACTGTACAGTCCCCACAAGGGCACTCTTCATCTTAATTCCCCTTCCTAATGGATCTGTACAGCTAAGCTTAGCCTTACACTTTTCTCATGTGACCAGGAGGGCAGCTGATGGCAGTGATGAAAGGGTCATCCTGGATGACGGCTAACAGTGAGAACTCTGCGGCAAAAAAACAGACCGAGGTCCACCGTTTCAAAGTACATACAAGTATGGGGAGGGCAGTGGTAGCCTTTCAGGCTAGCTGTTAATACAAATTATGATCTTACTTAAGCACAGATAAACAATCACTCACTGGACCTTTTCACCAATTGAAAACAGATTTTTGAACGTACAATAGGCTTGTGCCTAAACAATTTCAACAACGCTGCAACAAAGTTTAAAAGCATTCCAAAGATATTGTTTCTTCTTCTTTTTTATCCTTATTTTATTTGGTAAACAACACAATACAGGATGTTGAAACTGGCATGCTCAAAAACAGCAAAGATCCTCTTATGTAAGTGCGATCCTTCTTATACCCAGTTGGACCCTGAAAGAGGACAGAAAAACACATGTAGTCTGGTACATATCTGCTGCATTGTTGAAATGATCCCTGTTACCAAGGAGCTGAGTCATACATCTGGAATGTATAATAAATAAAAACAAAAAGAAGCCAGTTTTAGAAATCCATGGATCATGTCTTCATGCCTTTTTGGTGTTGATTAATCCCTTGTGATGAATTTAAAGTATTTATATTTAACACTAAAAACATATTCTTGATTTGGATTCATTTCCAGTCAGCAATGCATGAGATGACAGATCCTTGTGAAACACGGCATAGCTGAAATGTAAACACTGAAGAAAAGCTCCATCCTTCAGTCTCTAGGCCTCTGCTGTGCAAATGTTTTTTTTTTCTTTTTATGTGTGTAACCTTTTGTTGATTGACAGAAGATGGAGCCTTAAAATTGTACAGTTATCCGTTCCCTTCGTCTCTTTTGTCCATCTCCGCCCCTCTTTGTGGTTTCTCCTCAGCGTGTCATGTCTTTGGGCAATGCTTGTGTGATCTCCCCTGCAAAATGACACTTTCTTTTTTCAGCTGTGAAATTCCACTGCTTGTATATTTTTTTTCTCCGCCGGGGTGGAAATCTTGATTTGAGATAAGAACCTTTGTCCCTTAGATTGCATGGTTGCTGTAACTGATGTAGGTTTGCTTTGTGGAAAAGGCTGAAAAATAGAAAATAGGAGAAGGATCTGAGATACAGAGAAAAACAAAATCTGCAATGTGAAGCTTTTTTTTTCTTTTATTGGTGTAACAAATACATCATGAAATTTCAAATAACAGCTAAATAGTTTGTAGCCATCAGACAGCACTTGTAATGCTGGTAATTCATAAAATTCTTCATCTTCTGTGTTTATTCTATTCATAGTGTATACCTGTTACCTGCAACAGCATCACCTTCTTTTTCTGCAGCTGTCAAAATTCAGCTATCCAGTTGTGTCCCCAGAGCGTGTTAGCTGATTCATTGAGGTGGAGCAGATAAATCCTGACATATTGCAACCAGATCTCAGCTTTTGTGGGAGCTGCCCTAGACAGGAATTTTTCAATTTCATCCACAGCAGCGTTGACAATGACAAATGGTTCTTATTGAAATAGCCATGCACTGTACGGCCCCTGAAAACAGAAATCCCATCGGGATAAATTGCATCTAGCTATCAATTCTGTGTCTTTTGCGATTCGCACCACTTATTGTAACAAAAGGCCTGATTAAACCCTAGCAGACCTCGAATCTCGCTCAAAATTAATGCTGTTCTGTCTGTTTACATGTACACATTCTGTTGTATGGAGTGGTCTTACAGCATTTTGCTTTTGTTTCTGTGTTGCATTGTTGTACTTTCTCTTCTTTATAGATTTATACTTTTCTGAAAAAACTAAACAAACACTGTGTCAGCTCTTTTTTGTGTCTGCTAGAAAAACCTTCCACCGATGGTGCTGAAATAATAGACAAAGAAAAAAAAACCTTTAAAGTAAACAAAAAATAAAAAGACTCGATTACCTTTTCAGGCCAAGTTTGGGCTGGAAAATGTAAAAAGATCTATGCAGAGAGGCAAGACTGATCAAGTTTTTATTTTTCCTGCCAGAGACAAGCAGAATGAGAGAGACATTTTATTCCCTTAATTGTTAATGTTATTTTTTCTACTCTTTTTGTAAGATTTCTTGGTTTGTCACCAATACCTAAATGCATTTAAAAGTTTAAAATAAAGTTTAAATTTTTTCAGGAGGGAATGGCAGTTTTAAACTTTTCAAATGCTTAGAAAATTACAGGACAACAGATCCACCAGAGCTAATGGTAATCACTTCTTGTCCACTTGGTTTCCACAGCCAGAGCCATTTTTGTGCCACACTATCTTTGAAATATATTTTTCATTAAATGATTGATGCTTCTTTTTTATCTTCTGAGTTTTTGCAGAGAAATACATAATTATTTATTAAAAGAAATGTCATTTCTTTTAATATTTCAAGCCAAAAAAGCTCAATTTGAAGCTTC